ATTCTCAACCATGGTGAGGATCAACAAATTTTAAATCCGTAAAAATATGAACTCTGATCCACATGACAGCTAACTGACAGTGACAACAGCAGCATAAATTAAGCCAGTAAACAATGATAGTATTTTAATAATAATTAACATAAAATGTTTTCAAGCTGCAATGCATGCTGGGAACTTGTGCAATATTGTTCAATGTGAAATTGTTTGTTCAGATGACTCAATTTGAAAAGTTGGGAGAACATTTGGATATGTTGTGAACAAATACTTGAGTATTTTAGTAAGGTAAACAAAACTTTTGCTAGCGACATGTTTAGAGTATTTTTGTTCAGTTCACACAAAAAATTAAACTGACTTCTCCTACTAAAAATTCTTTGTTCAGGCTACTTTTTGAACTTTTCGAAAAGTTGGATTTTTTACAGTGAAGAAATTATTGTGGTGATCAGTCTTGCCGCAGTGCTCAAACACAATAAATCATAGTCACACGTTTAACCACATGCCCCTTCCTTCTGGGGTTATGCACTCTTTCTGAGCAAAGTCTGATATCAGGTGTCACCCGAGGTTCAGAGTCTACCTGAATATGATTCATCAATTAGAAACTTTTGTCACATGTATTTGTCAGATTATTAAAAAAACTTTAAAGGAAAAATAATATATAGTTAATGATTTTAAATTCAAATACTTAAGAGATGAAAGGTGAAATATTCCAGAATTTCTTTATAGTAATGTTAAAATCAGGACAATTTATTTTGCACTTTTACCTAAGAACTTATAAATACCAATTGAATTCAGTTTTGTGTACTTTTTATTTTTTACTAACAAAGAAGATAAGTTTTGTAAGTTAGGTCATGATCTGATAGCTTTATTAGGTGTCATCGCCTAATTATTTAATTAAGAATTTATAAGTGTAACTTAGGGTTAATACTTCATGGTTGATCAGGGTCATGTTAAAGGGATAGTTCACCTTCAGTTGCAGGTCCCCATTGACTTCCATAGTATGGAAAAAAACACTATGCAAGTCAATGGGCATCAGCAACTGAAGGTTGAACGATCCCTTTAAGATATTAATTCTAGGACATGTTTAAACAAAGATGTGAAACCTGGTTTGAAAAAGTAGCTTTTTATTACAGGATTACTTTTATGTTTTAGAAAACGCTTTATATCTGAAAAGTCTTCTGTGTGTGTCTCACAGGAGTAAGACGGCAGCCTTCACTGACAGTAGGATACGCACTATGAATGAGGTGGTGTCTGGTATACGTATAATTAAGATGTATGCCTGGGAGAAGCCATTCGCAGCACTGGTTAATGATGTACGAAGGTAAATGATAAAGACTTATTTAATCTGTTTACACTGCTGCAGCTCTGACATAGGTCAGCAGAATTCTTGACTGAAGATGACAAATTGCCAAAGGTTTTTTTTAAGGTTTTAATAGGTTTTTTTAAAGGACTTGTATTGATTTTATTATAAAGATCTGTAAAACCTTGAGTTGGTCAAATGATGGAATGATAGAAAACACCTGTGCCATTAAACGATATGTGTTGACTTAAAATTAAATTGACTGTAAATGTAAATTGACTGTAGAAGACGACTAAAGCATTCCTTGAGGCAATGCTGAGAATGCATTGCAAGCGCAATCCAATGCCATAAACTCGCATGACTAGAAACAGTTGTGTTCACATACTTTTGTACTGTGGTCCAGGACTTGGGGGAATGTCAGCATGTCAAAAAAGTAAAGATTTGATAATGTTTATCACAATTTGAAGCCATGAAATCTCAGTTTTACCCTTGCAATGCCACAAACAATGCTTCTTTTAATCTTATCTGTGGTTCTGTTTCTAATGTCTTTTTAACTATGAAAAGACAGAATGAACTTTGTGCAAGCCAACCTTGTAAAGTACTTCTATGCAAGGCCATCCATCTCTTGGACATAATAATCTTTATGACTCTTGGGCATTAATAGCTAAAATCTCTTTTTTTGTTTGTTTGTTTCTTGTAGAAAGGAGATCTCAAAAATCATGAGCAGCTCTTACCTCCGAGGACTGAACATGGCCTCGTTCTTTACGGCGAATAAAATCATCCTGTTTGTGACGTTCACTGTGTACGTTCTGGTGGGCAACAAAATCTCTGCCAGCCGTGTGTTTGTGGTCGTGTCGCTGTACAGCGCCATCCGCCTCACCGTTACTCTGTTCTTCCCTGCTGCTATCGAGAAAGTGTCCGAGTCTGTCATCAGCATCCGGAGGATCAAGGTATGACTGCCATCATTAGGCCGAAACTATACTAACGATGTAAATAAGATATTATTTGCAGTTCAGAGAGCTTCACTGATTATAAAGGAACATCGTGAGATTGCGATAAATTGAAGTGAGTGACAGCTTTTTAGTGATTATATGGAAACGCTATTTGCTTGCTTTCTAGGCTATAATCAATTCAGAATTTGAATAAAAGTTTTGTTTTATGTGCTGCTAAGAGGACCAACAGCCGCATACCCTGTTCATGCAGCAAAGTTTCAGGAGTGATTGAAAAAGCAGAACGGATGAGATGGAGGAAAGTCCGTAATGTACTGTTTTAGGCATGAGGCATTTTTTATATAGCGCTTTCATTGTATTGCTGTACACCCAACGCGCTTTACAATCATATGAGGGGGGATCTCTCTTCAACCACCACGCTATTACAAGAGAAAGGTATTTATAATCACAACATATGTTGGACGTGATCCTTATGTTTTTTTTTTAAATCCCGATTTTTAAACTAAATTGAAATACTTGCCTGCCATATAGGCTAAGCAACTAACCCTGATTGTAAACAAGCTATTTCGAAAGTGAATCCCGTAATTATATGAGGGATGTGGAATACATGTCACTCCTGAAACTTTGCTGCATGTACAGATGTAAAAGCTGATAGAACACTGATGAAGAAAATATTGCTTCAGAATAAATTTACTCCACCAAAAATCTCAGTGATGCAGTTATTTTGCAGGGATATTCTGTATGGAATATTGTCTGCTGACATGAAAAGTTCACTGTTATATCATAGTAATAAATACCATTTATTACAGCATTGATATTTTGTTTTCTTTTTAATTTATACACATTAAATATTACATATATGTATGTAATAAAATGTGTATTTCCATTACAGGTTTAGGTCTTAAATTTCATATAAGGTGGTATTAAAAAGGTCTTAAAAATTCTTAAATTTAACTTGTTCAAGTCTGCAGAAACCCTGATATCTGACTGGATCCAATTTTTTGGACGACCATAACATTTACATTATACACTTGGGGAAACAACCCAAAGTAGACATACTGACCTGATAAAGCTTAGGCTGAAAAGGAAGTAAAAATGGCACAATTTGCAATGGACATTGACAAAATAATAAAATGATGTCTCAAAAGACATAAAACTTCAGCATGAGTCCACTGGGTTGAGCCACCATTGCTTTTTCAACTGATGTATGACTCATATTGACAGGGGAATATCCCATGTGTCTGCTTAAATGGCAGACGCAACAGCACGTCTGTGATTCATATTGGGTTTATTTCCACATAGGAATGAGCTCTAAACGGATCTGAGAATCCATGCACTTTTTGTTCCTGCTTACATGTTCGTGGGTCATATCCGATCTGTGCCACTTAGGAGGAAAAAATAGGATTTGGGTCACTTTGAACTGTAATGTAAATGCCAGTCTTTGTGAAGTTACAGTGTTCCCACATCTTTGGAAAGCTAAAGTTGTGATTTCAGATCTAGGAAAGTCACGGAAATGATTACAGTCTTGAGAAAAAAAATAGTGCATACAGCATGCGAAAGTTTGGGAAACCCTTGTAGAATCTGTGAAAATGTGAGTAATTTTAACACACACACACACACACATATATATATATATATATATATACAGTACATATATATATTTATTTGTTTGTTTTTTTGCCCACCTGACTCAAGTCAAATGTTGCCCATGTGTATGTATATATATGTAATAATAATAATAAATTATTACTGTTACTGGAAATGAAATGAAATTACTGGTTGATATGTCCCGATCTCAATAAAGTTTACACACGCTTTTGGTCCGTGAATTAGATCTCGCTCGGGACGCGCGCTGTCTGTGGAGGTTTGGCCAGGACCGGTTTC